GGGGGCGTTTTGTTCAAGGATGAATGAGATTCATGCAACAGCATCGTAACCGTGAACCGTGAACTCGTTTAATTACATGTTTAATTTAAATGATTTTAAACATGAGGTTATTCCAGCTCCGAGCATCAACCGTATAGCTCGGTTGTTGTAAAGGTTTCGGCTCTCAACCCGAAGGGTCGCGGTTAGAGTAGAAGAAACAAAATCGAAACAGCTGAACAATAATGATTATCGTCCATCGCGTAAGACTTCATTACAAAAATAGGAGAATTATTTGTTTTAATATCAGTGATCAATCTGTTGAACTTATCGCTTAGGTATTTGGGAAATGCAAGCGACGTTTTTGGTCCACTGAAGGTAGGCGTTCTGTTTCCGAGTTGATGTATGCATCATGAAAAACATGTTCCCTATTCGCTTGACTCATGCCTAAGTGGTACACCAGCTATGGATGAGAACGTTCGGTCAGAAGTTGAACAACCACTGGAGAACCAATCAGCTGCGAGCGTACTGGATAAATGTATGCACATGTGAGAACCCGTTTAATTGATCGGGAAACCACAATTTCGACCAACCAATGCGCTAAAACAACAAGGCGCCATGTGAAACTCCAGAAGGCATCTCTCTTTTATGCAAGGTTGGAGCGGGAAGATAATTTTAAAATTAATTACAATAATAAACAATGCAAGCGCACTCAGATGCGATCCACGAGAGGGGGAAATCCAAATCAAATGCTTGTGACTGTTACCACGACCAAGTCGGTCAAGATTAGCGAGGAGGGAACGAACATGCGTTGTTCAATTGATCATTTAATTCTTTGATTTTCTCATATTGTTCATTGACCACTACGATTGCGCGTTTGTTGGCTCTGGGAGCTGTATAATTTCTACCGGTCGGTGTAGTCCGATGTAGACCAGTTTTGTCCAATAGATTGGCTTGGATTTCCAAGCGAATGGTTTCGTTAGGATCCAATCGTTTTTTCTTCCCACGTGCCACGACATATCAGACCATTTATAAACAAGTCTTCTCGTATGAGACGATCCACACTAATTTCGAAACAACGTTTCTATTCACATTGATATTCGTCACGCGCGTTCCGGTTGCAAATGTAAATCCGTCCGAAGCACCGAAAACTTTTAATCTTTTTTGTATACCAAAGCCCAAGTAAAACAACTCTGAAATTGGAAAAAAATGTTCTGACAGATCTTGCGACATTATTCTGAACATGATTTGTTTCTTGTTGTTGTTGTTGTCGTTGTTGTTGTTGTTATCGCTGTTATGCAACGCTGATTTAGGCATGCTTTGGACTTGAGTTGACCAATCTTGGTCACCGACTGAAACAAAACTAGCCGCATACCACTTGGAGATTTGACGACAATTGATCAATCATCCCATGATTGTTTCAATAAACTCCAAAAGCGCCTATTACTTCAGCTCGGCTCCTCCTTGAACATGATCGGGAGAAGAGATTACAAGAAACTAGGCGAGTGAGAGTCAGAACAGGCGGAGGAAGGGGAAATCGAGTAATGATTGGCGCACTCCTAACGAAGAATGAATGTGTTCAGCAGGCAGGATAGCACTGAACGCATGGCGTGCTTTCTAACAAAAAAAAACAGAAAGAAAGAAAAAAGCGATTCAACGTTTTCACCAAATTTTTGTTTTAACGGTGCAGAAAAATTGAACCAAAGTATTTCCGAAAATAAGTTGCTTAACTAGTGAGTGACTGTAGGAATTCGACAAATCTTGTGTAGCTGAAAAACGTCTGGTTTTAGATTTCTTTAGGCTGGAACCATTTAGAGACAAGTGGGTAGAGGCTGACTAACTAATTGGCTATTTCATCGGATAGAAAGATAGCCTCAAGCATAATTGAAAAAGTAGTACCGTAATTTAATCATTGTATTTCTCCCCATTATTTGCGAGGGACCAGGCAAGCTGAACTGCTCTGGTCTGCGAATGAAGAAATATATTACTACATAGCATCAACTACACCGTTTGAACTTCCATTATGCAATCGATCGATCAATCGATCAATCGATCTCCGAAGGCTCCCTTCAGAAAACGTTGGATGTGAATGATCAGCATGACACGCGACAGGTTTATCTCGAAACACATGGTTCTGTTTTGAGGATGAAATTCCTGATAAACTCTGTTTAACTGGAACTGGGCAGAAGAACTGAAAACCATTTGTTGTAAATACAGAAAACGAGAGAGATAGAAATTGAATTTCGCAGGTACAATAGGGAATTGGTTAAATTAACAAACTGTCACAACACACGATTCGTTAGTTTTTTGATGTTCTTAGTAATTATTATTATTATATTATTATTATTGTTATTTCCGAAGATTGCAATGGGAATGAAACAGTTAAAAGCTGGATTGGAAGCAAAAAATTGAGTAGTTTTTAACTGATTCATTTAGCAGGATACTCTCTTGCTGAGCGAGGTGACAACAAGGCAACTTACCATCTGCAGGGTTTCGAACCTCGAACTGTAGCAGTGATACAACATCATCCCGTTCTATGTTGAATTGAAACAGATAGTTATTTAGTCCCTCAGATAACGCAATTTTACCGATTACTCACACTCTCAGTAATTAGATGCATAATCGGCCTTAACTAAATTGTGTTTTTGAATTAATAACTGTCATTGAATTCAGGGCATTTGACGTTGTCATTACTCGTGGTCCACGGATTGTGCAGATGAGCAGTCCTTGCATGAGTTGTCGGCATTCCCCGTAGTTCTAAGGCGATGCTCAATGGGGGGGGGGTGAAGGGGTGGGTAGTCGGCATGCTGCGGACTATATGATCCAAGATTCGAACCCTGTCACGGTCACCCAAAGTTGGTGGCAGGCAGCTTTGTTGTCTTCTGGTTCAGTACCACGCCTAACCTAGCGGTTTCTTGTACTATTCACCACTTCAAGTCCCGCGGGGCTTAGATTGCCGATTTCCATCACTGAAAAGCAGGTCATTGTTACTATTAGGTCCGTCCCGTCGGCTATTCATCACGTTTTCATCTCCTCATTAATCCATGTCCCCGTGTGCACGAAAGTAAAAGTCGACGAATTTGAATTAGTTCGTTTAAACCCCGTGATTCGATCTACACTCATTCATATATACCCTCATGTGAGTAATTTGTCTCATCGATTGTCAGTCATTCAACAAAACTCCTGTCTGAGTTGTGCACTCAAACAAATAGCTTTTCGATGATAAAATAACCTTATACACCTTTTTTCATTAAGCTAAAACGCGCAGTACTTCGGCCAAAACCCGAAATGCTTTAACCAAAACTCGTAATCCTTTGGTTACACTACCGCAGGCGAATTAGATCAAAGCCATCGGGATATGCTGAAGTCAACGGATGTTGAAAAAAGGTATTTCCTACGAACATTGGTGTTGCAAAGGTTGGTCAAACCATTAGGCACATCATGTACAGTATCAGTATTTCCGTCTAACATGAGATAGTCTTAGGAGTAAAAATTTCAAGCGTAACACAAGTGAAATCTGTTAACGAGAACCGGATACACAAACATGCCAAGGATAATAAACACTGTTTACAAACGTACACCCTCATAACTATCAGTATCATCAATTTATTACCAATGTAACATTTGACTTAAGTGTCGCGGTCCAGGTTCAAGAATTATGGGTTTTATCTATAGCTTGATGTGAAAAGATGTGGGGGGTCTTTTGTGAACGATGTTTGTTTTTCTAGGTTTGTTAGTTTATCCACATTTGATGAATGGGGTTCACTTGTGAATGCAAAACAGTGTACCGTTTGTGTTACACTTGACATTTTGACTCACCGGACTATCGCATGTTATACGGAAACACTGAAGCTGTACGAGATGATTTAGATGGTTTGACGATACATGCACATGGTTAAAAACTTCTTCAATTAACATGAGGTACAGCGTGTGACCGCCACACCTCATTTCTTAACCAAGGTTTACCAGATCAACATCTGTAGAAAATAATCTGTTTCCACATTCGTTGACCTGAGAGTATATTCCGATACACATTGCTCTAACTCAACTACGAGAGTTTGACTAAATTTTGCGTATCGTGGCCAAAGGACTACCTACGAGTTGTGACTTAAGCATTGCGGGTTTTGGCTAGAGTATTACGGGTCGTGGCTGAGGCATAGTGGGTTTTGGCTGAAGTTTGATGGGAAAAGGTGTAGTTGTAATTGACCTTCTGTTTTTCGTCCATCTTGTAATGCTTGGTCTGTAATCACATTCATTCTATCCACTATGTAGGCGTGACTACACTGCTCTCATTGACCATGCTTCTTCAACTGGTTGGCGATAAACTACCGCAGACGTCTGCTGGAAATCCAGTATTAGGTAAGTTAATACGCTGCTCGTGGCTGGTTTATGTCTGAACAAAAAAAGGGCAGGCTGTTTTGATAACATCCATGGCTGAGAACCACGATAAAGAACTTGTCGAGTTGCGTGTGTATTTGTGTGTGTGTGCAAAATTATTGAATAGACTGAAGTATTTGGTCATTTATACTGATTCACTAAATTTCTGTTTGAGAGAAATGGCTATCTTATACACTTTTCAAAATTGACGGCTAATCAACGATTGATTTTTATCCATTTTCAGTTCATTTAGCAGTTGGGGATAGTTTACTACTAATCGATAACCAAATGGTTATTTTTTCACTCACAATCAGGCTGTAAGAATTCTGATATTGTTGGTCGAACAAAAGCAGTATTAATAGAGGGAACATGGTCAACTTGCTGGAAATGACTGACTTAGCTGGGATCGTGCATATGCATCGGTTTATTTGCTCATTAGCCTAGTTCGGGGTTAGTTTATCGATCCATTGTATTAAAGCTCCACTGAATCGACCGATGATGCCACGACGAACAGAGAAGGAGAGGATAAACTATTACACTGCTCTCTGTCTGAAATTCTTCAATGTGCATCAATTACTCCCATTCCAGTAGCAAACTTGGTTTACTTACAGACAGCTGACCTCTGTTTAACTGAAGAATTTTCGCACGACAGCTTTGAGAGCCACTGTTTTGATCCGGAAGACTTGATACTTGATACATTGGGTGCCTTGTGATGGTCAAAGCATTAATCATTCAACCGGACTGCACCTTGACGTGGTGTGTGATGGCTTGTGCACCTCTCTGACCCAACAAGCTACACAGGATGGCTTTTGTTAAGCCAGGAGATCTAATCATGCCTGGAAGATTGAAGGATAGAGGTCGAACCGAGTTCATTTTCCTGGTCCTCCAGGTTGGGGGTTCTACTCGAGCTAGCGTCTCAGTCGGTAAAACCGTAGAAGGATAATCGATCCAAGTAAATGGGCCTCAACTTCGCTTCACCCACTGCCTTGTAGCTAAGTTCTTGTCAGAACCAAAGGCTTTGGTTGAGCACCCTAACCGTTCTCCCGCTTAGTGGTGTCCGTCCATCAAGCCCCAATGCATATGTATTGTGAGTCTGGCAGCAATCAGTGAAGTTGGCCTCACTGTATTTCGTTGTACAATGATGATGACGATGCTTAACTGAGCTCTCTATGCATTTGAAGTTACACGTGTTTGGTTCAGATTGAAGTGTACAATTTTGTCCCCTTTTGCTTTCCACTGCAATCGTAACAGTCACCTGTAGCATTGATAATAGATATCAGTCCGACGCGCACGCACACACACACACACACACGCCGACTGTCACACCCCAAAGGAGTTTCAGTCTACGTGCTTGTGCTCTGATGGGTGGAATCGCTTACACATGGCAGCAGCAAGAAAAAAAACCGAAAACAACCAGAATAAACAAACAGCTTCCGCCAGAAGACACGTCTGTCAAAGTTAAGCCAATAACGGTTCTGTTGCTATAACGAAAACGTAGGACGTAACGCGACACGCTCGAAAAACAAACCATCAACAGTAGTAAGTAGAATCAATCATCAAGAAGATCTATCATAACCACATCCGAGAGGGAATATCACAGTTTGTCTATGGTGTTTGGTATCCTACTCCCCATATTCAGAGTAGCGAACTGCATCAGGCCTCACTGGGGTAGATGGTTTATTGAGTCGGACCTTAGCAAAGAGTACCTACCTGACCACCAACACCACCGTCACCACCAGCACTAACACTTCTGAAAACGTTGCAATTTTTAACATACCGTTTCAGTATGTTTGAGATCAAGGCATAAAGTTTGTTGAATATCATCTAACTCATGTTCCAATTAACATAAAACATACATACATACATACATATGTACACATGTTTGTTCTTCTCGTTGTTCCCTACTAAATTGACAAATCCCCGTCACGGTCGATCGGGACCAGTGCTGTACTTCACATGCACCATAGTCCTGTGCTCCCTGTCACTGGTATTTGCGGTAGTCCTACTGAATTGTCATCATCATCGTGGTGGGATTGTACACGCCCCATGGGTGGTAAGTTCCATTCATTTTGTTTAAAATGCAAATGCTATCCCGACATGTCGTTGTAAACCGCAGTTTTCTCGTCGTTTACGGGGGAGAGCTCCCGGGCGAGACACGGCGTATCCATTTAAAGGACACAAAGCGTCCACTTCATGTATTCCCAATTGTCATTTTGTTTTAACTACTAATAACTTTGCATCCCCTATCGATGTGTTTATCTTTTCCTATTTAACGCTTAACAGATGTATAATTGACAGTCTTGTGAACGAAGGTTTGGAATGTTTTGTTGTTGTTGTAGCTCATAGGGAGTATAACTTGTAATTCGATTGCAAACAATTCATCACCAAAACCAGCTGATATCCTCAAATGTATAATTATGCAAACTGTGTCCGGAACATCGTGGAACATAATTATCTTATGTGAAGCGAGCAGTACAATCGATGTGGCCTCTTTTAGATTGGCTGGCAGGCGCATGCATCCTCCATGTGTGCTTTCGAATCCCACCGCGGCTATTGATCATTTCACAAGTCACGCATAAAACAAACGTAGAACTACATAATTTCAGGGAACCACTAGATGAAATTAAGGAATGGTTAGACGCCATTTGGATTATAATACGGAACGTACAATTGAATTCATTTCTGTGTTCTATCAATCATTCGCTTCCTTTGATTAAGCCGTCTTACGTGTGATGTATAGACAGGAAAAGTCAACTTGTCCGAACAATTATTTGCAGTGATTCCCATAGTTCGTCCCTGTTGTGCCCCGGTTAAGTAGATAAATAGCCGGTCCATAAGCTGGTAGACAAGCATGAGCAAAAAACACGTAGGGAAGTAGATAGACAAGCCGACAACTGGCTCAAGCCGGTCAAGCCAGCATTCAAACAGTCAACGAATCAATCAGCGCGGACAGTTCAATACTATCACCTGATTGGCTGGGGCCGATCGATAATGTAACAGAATCAACCGCACGTCGTGAGTGCGTGCGTGTGTGGTAACAGGCAGCATCGATCGACCAATTACTCTGGCCACAGGCATGCATGTATCAGTCAATTGTAGGCCGCAACGGTCCCCAGATTAAGACGTGATAAATAGGATCATATTACATATTTGATGGAATGGGTTAAGGGCTTAGATCCTAGAAATCAATAATGCACAGATAACTGTGTTCCGTCGGAGCGCCTGTCTTAAATGGGCCAGGATATTTCCACTTGGATTGTTCATTAGTGACACCCTCTGAAGACCAACACAAATTCGATGACTCAATACCATCGCGTAATTATTAAAATGAATTCTCCTGATGCCTATCTACTCTGATTACTACGCTAGTTGGTTGGGAAAGGGGGAAGATGAAGCGGCTTGGTCAGATAATACTGTGGATCTGTAGAAAATATTACTGGGAAATAATTGGCCATCAGTCAAAACGTTATTCAGCGGTAATGACCTGTTGATTGGCAAAGCCGAACCATGCGAAGCGGTTGGAGTACGTTCGATCATGCGTGGAAGGCAATACGTTGTGGATTGTGTATAAATGCTTGCTCCCTTGGTTGGTATAGTTGAAAAAAGCACCATATATTTTCACAGGAAGAAGCTGCTTGGTGGTTAAAACAAATTGCCATAGTGAGATGGTCGTGGTCCCAAGTATCAAGGCGACCAGATTGTTTTCCCCAATAGCTTGTTCGTTGTAATGATATATTCGTTCTTGGTGTAACAATAATTCTTCTGATAACGGGTATCTGTTTTAAAATTTGACAATATCTTTTTTCCATAAACGCGTCTACGTCGTTCTGTCTAGTTGGATTTTTATTGATGATTGGGCTAGGCTACACAGTCCAGCCCATCGGTATAGCCAAAAGCGAAATTCGGTTATGCATCAATGTTGATAATACGGTTCTCCTCCAACTTCGCTGAAGACCATGGACAGGCATTGAATTCAACTTCCATACTAATGTATGAGTCTGTTGAACTATCATCGTTCCTGTGCCGAACTAAAGGCCGAAAGACGGGACCGGTAGGAGCTTCCGCAGACTCGCACCGCCCTCTGCCTGAAATATATGTGAACAGGAAAGGGAACGAGTGAAATGCTCGAGAACATCGTTTCACATGAAGAACAACCGTCAGTTTGGATGCGATTCGAAATGTTCTCAATTAGGGGATCCAATAACGAAGAAAACCCGACCGGGTTCACTCCTTCAGGGACAGAGCACAGTGCAACCGATCAAGTCGAAAGCAATTCGGAATGTGTTACATTTCTTCTGCGGTTATTAATACTATTATCATTATCATTGTAGTTTCTGGTCGATTTTATGAAATGTTACATTTTCTTTCCAGATTACAACCTTTGTAAACGTCTGGCTGGCTAGCGCATTACGTATCGATCGGAAACGAGATGAAGACGAGGACAAGTCAGACTCATTTTCCTTAAATCGTCGATTCGTTTCCAAAGATTACAGTCGNNATACTGGCTAAATCATCCGGATCAACAGATGCTTGATTCCCGTCAAATAGATCTGATCATTCCACACAAGGTAGCACCGATTTGGTCAAACATTATCGATCTGGACTCGGAATTTCGTCCGACCCTATTGGTGTCGGAGACACCGGTGAAACAGTCGCACCAACAGTCCCATACAAAAGTCAATCCGAATCACATTGAATTGCGAGCAGTGATCACACAGAATATGTACCCGCACGTGTCACCGCAACGGGGTTCCGGAATATCAAAACTCCCGGCAGGTGTGGCTGACCGAACCCGGTTGGATGTAGTTCCAAAACAGCGATTCGAATACTCCTGTCTTGCAGAAAACAAAGAATCCGGTGAGTTCATCACTGTCCGTATTATCAGAATTGAATAAAGTCTTGTCAGATTGGGCTCCCTACATCATCTCAAAGTTCAAGATTTGTTATGGGAATTACTGGCAAGCTCATACTTTTCCTGTCCCCATAAGGTATTTATCCAGGCATCTACTAATCGCGTGCTCGTATTCTAGGCGCCGTACAGCTTTTGTCTGCGCCACACGGCTTCTTATTGGTCGGCACAATGGGCCTATGGTTCGTTGTCCAGAAGCTGTAACCTATAGGCACTTTGCTGGCGTTCTCTCGGAGGCCCAACTCATCACAGTTGTCCAGAAACTAAAACGTATCGCCTCGTGGTTTGCGTCATCCCGTAGACTAGGATTACCACAGTTTCATCAAGTCCCCGCTTGAAAGATCCAATAGTTGGTGCACAAACGATGTGAGGTGTAAGGGTGTTCCAAATGCTGCACACTCTGACTGCAAAAGAGTGATGCAGGAATTCCAGTAGATCCTTTGGAATCAGTAACTTGAAACGATGTCCCCTAATGTGTGTTGGACGACATGGATGGTTTGGGTTTTCCTGTATTTTATACACCAAAATCAAGTCTCCTCACATTTGCCGGTACTGAGCAGAATAAGTCCCAATGATCGCATTCTGTGCTTATATGTAAGGCAATTCGATCAGTCGGTCATCCTGTGTGGTCTCCTCAGCATCTTACAATCACGTTGCAACCATGGCTTCCAAGCATGGATGGCGTACTCTGTGTACGGTCTAATGTACACTGATCGGAAACGTGGCAACAACACTAATCCAATTGGACCAAAAGCTCGCCTAAGCAAGCCCACATTCATCACAGCGACGAACGAAGGATTGATTACTGACATAGTGTGAGCAGTAGTTGATAAGCTCAGTCAATCTACCAATTATTTTAACAGTGCATGTCAACGGAAAATATGAGCAGCAGAAATTTTGGGAAATGAATAAACGGAAAGAGAACCCTTAACCAAACACGAATATGCAAAATTCACAACGGGAATACGAGTGCCAATTGAACATTTGATGGCATAATGCAAACGCGGGTGACCCGCTTTAACAGTATTCTTTTGAAAACTTTCAGTTATATATATGCATCTCATAAGCACACGATATATATATATATATATATATATAAATATATATATTGATCAAGCTCATGCAACATCACTCTCATTTTGAAATACATTTAATTTTCCAATATCACACTTGTATGTTATGGGTAAAGTGTATTTATTCCTGACTTTATCTTGCACTTCTTTGTTTCTAATTTGAATCTGGGTGACGGGATAAAAATTTGCAGTAGTTCGAAAGTTACGGCTGAGATTTCGAAAATATTTGAAGCAAAGCAGGATGCAAATTCATTCTTTCTAATAAATGATTCCTATTGCAGGTATATGTTTATTTAGTTGAAAACACTTATTCTAAATAGCTTGTATCTTGTCATTCAGTACACTGTAAATAAGCCAAATAATGAAAATTTTCTAGCTTAGATCAATTGACAAATTATTTAGCCACAAACTATTCACTTATCATCCCTGATACTGAAAAAACTAAAATCGTTTTTTACACAGATGAAAGTTAGCAAACCTTCTCGCTTGAGGTTGATATTGGGGTAACGTTGGATTGCACTAAAATATTACTGTTTCACACTTATGAAGTTTCTGGAGGAGTCAATCCCAAAGTTGAATTCGTTCAGTCACCACTCAGCAGTTCGGAGTTGAAAGTAATCAAAATCGTTTCCCTGTGTTAGAGACAGAGAGAGATGAATTGGCTGCGTCGACCATGGTCGTCAGTGCTTAGGGTGCGGCATGTATTGAAGAGAAACTGGTGAAATTCTGTTGGATAATCAAAATGGTAGACTCCATGCTAAAGCGACTGTGCGCAAAAATGAAGAAAGGCAAATGGCACATGGACGATATGAAAGTGCAATACCTGTATCCTGGCTATTCAACATTTAGATAAATAAATTCTATTTGTGTTTCTTACTATGGTTTTGTTGTTTTACAACTGATGCACCCGCAATCATTGTCAAAATCGAGAAGTCTTACGTTTAATGGCATGTGCCTAATAGAATCAAAGACATAAGTGGATACTATTATATAAGACATGTTGCGTCTGATGTGGAGCAGTATCGTATTCAATCCCGTGAACGAGGCTTGAAGCACTAAGCGTTTGGAGGAATAAACGTGAGGAAAGTATCAGTATATAAATATAAATATATATATATATATTTATATACATTAGTGAGAGGTTCACAAATAAGTTGATATTTTACCTTTTTGCTTATATTTTGATCAATATTTTATCCCGATGATCATTATATATTTTGCTTTATCCATTTCACATGCGCATTCCCTATTCCTTCAGGCTTGCAAATACCTCCACGTAGCTATACCCAAATGAACATGATTAATCAGGCCTCTTGGAGTTTGAGTAGCTCTCCGGAGAAATTGCCCGGGAATCCGATACGGGCATCCACAAAATCACGTGGCCCTTTGGATTCGAGTAACACGCAACAAAATGTCCAGTCCCATCTGATCGAGCCCACACTACTACAATCGTCACAACCCGCGACACAAACTGGGCCCAGACAGCCATCTCAGTATCCATGGTGTGCGTACAACGCCCAGGATGCGGACTGGCAGTTGCGTGAATTCTTCGAAAAAGCTCGAATTCTGAGAAAACTGAAAGAACTGACCCGTGAATTGCGTTACATCACCAGTCGTATGCATCGAGAGGACAAAGAGGCACGCACTTCTACCGAGTGGCAATTGGCCTGTCGAGTGCTTGATCGTTTGTGCCTCGTAATTTTTGCCGCATTGAATCTGTTCACTTCAGTGGGCATTCTGACCTCCGCACCGACCATTATCAAGGCATTCACCTGTACTGGAGAGCCCTCGAAACCGATGTGAATGAACTGGTGTCTTGGACAACTGCCCGTAGTGGTGGTGGTGGTGCTGGTGGTGGTGGTAGATCACCATTCACCATTTGGTGGGGGTAGGGTTGGTGGAGGTGGTATTGGTGCTGCTGGTGGTGGTAGTGGTGGTCTTGAGGATAGGGTTAACTGGTCTGTCATTGCAAACATATGCACTGAATAGTCACGTGTCTCTCTCTGTCTCTCGCTCTGTAATTGCATCACCTCATTTCGGACAGTATCTATTACATCCGTATATACATGTATACGTATGAAAATGCGTTTCGCCTAAAAAAATGGAGGAGAATATTAGTGATTTGACATTTTTCATTTCTTTCTTATTCCGAGCAGGCTGGGAACTACACGAGAGGATCAACAGGATCAGTTGCTCGATAGTTGGTAGCTCCTCCACGCGACCCCAAATTGTAGTAGTCGACGTTAGTCTAGATTGCGAATCAGGAATCACCGACGCAACTGAAACACTGAGTCGCACAAGCTGAAACTTTCCGTCTCTGAGACACTGGAAAAAGGCCACTGAAGTAGCAGTTATTTTATTGAAAGATATCGATGGGACTGAATAATGTACAAATATAAATATCATCGGTCAAACTAGTATCAGGCAATCACCGTTCCCACTCTTAGAGTCACACGGCTTCTGTTTGAACTGTCTGACTGTTGATTGATCGATACTACTATTTCACGGCCCAATGTCCAGCAACTGGAAGGAGCAGGCGTTCAGCAGGGGTCATCTGGAAGCGTTCAATCACCACAAAACGCCTTGAGGATCGATAAACTATGTATGACATACTACTCATAAGACGTTTTTTGTTCTTTTCCTCTTCCGCCTGATCGAAATATATCAATGAGTGCCGTTTAGCGTAGGCAATAGCTGCAACCTAAGAACCACTGGAAGCTGGTGAGATTTATCGGGATTGTGTAACCCTTATCAATCGATTAGGGCGCTCGTTCATATGTGCATGGGTTCAAGTCTTACAAACCAGCGCAAAAGATAGCTGCATGAACGTTGAACGCAGTCAAAACTGGAAATCAATAGAAACAGTGCCAAAACGTGAGTGATTGTGCTGTTTCGAAGTGTTTGATTACGTCTGGTACCGTCAAACTTGCTTTGAATTTTGATTGTTTTGGGTTTGGTCCTGTTGATCTCTTCACACTGGGTATGTATTGGAGTCTGCCACAGTTATGTAACTTCTACGGTTTCCGAGCGGAAAAACTTGTAAACACAATGGGCTCAGTATATTAGGTAATGAAAAGGAATGTCCGAAAACTCGGTCACTTTATGGATCCCGGGAAGTTCTAGACCGCTGATAGTAGCCGACCAATCAGAACGGTCGAACTGTCTGGTTGAACACACGCACGCAAGCAAACTGAATTTGACCATTCATCTGGATCCCGAAGATTGCCTCGCTTATAGCTCCTGGAATTTTCTCGCGAAACTATACATTCTGACCCTCCGGTCAGTGAAATCTTGGGTGTAAGTTCCTCCCCTGAATTTTCGTACATTTGTCACATGTTAAATGCATTTGCACTGGTAACAGAATGCTCTGTGAGCGTTGGACAGCCACTTCCTCCTTGTTTGAACTCGCCAGTAGTCAAATCACGGGTCAAATCAAATACCGGAACACACTATCCGTGATCTTCAGGGTCGTCGCATTTGACACGGTGATCAAATAGTTATACCAATTTAGACTGTTATATGTTTAGGTTGGCTCACTCCGAAATTGCACTCAGGACAAAATAGCTGTTCCAAGCTTTTGGTCAACGCCTTTGACTTATAACATAACATATGGGTTCACAAAATTCACCTAAATCTGGAAAAACAAGTGATCTGCCATTATCTTCGTTAGACCAACTTGGCAGCTGTGGGCAGTAAAACCGAGGCTATAAACTAAATACCTTTGCGAGTAATAAAAAATAAATCACAGAACCACCTGTAAGTAGTCTCACATCCTACTCAATGTTTGAACTGCCGTGCCTCGATAAACATTCGGATGCCGTTAATTGTTTTACTACTCATGAGTAGTTTTGAAGACACTAGCTGAAAAGAAAGTAAACCGTTCATGTGGACAGATGAACCCAACCCTTGAATGCAACAATCTTTTATGCCAATGACATTTTGGAAGCTCAGTTTTGATGCAGGGGTGAGAATTCCTCGGTTAGTTTGAC